CCGAAAAATACAATATTTGTACCTCAGTCTGAAACCAAGCTCCTGTCCCACAGAGAACCCCTCCCCCCAAGCATTATTTGAAAATGTGCTTAAGTGGGAGTGTACGAAACAGTAAGAGGTTCTTCAAGAGACAGAGGCCAATTTCAAGACGTTTAGATCTATGATGCAAAGTTAAATTTCTTTTTGATTTTAACGTACTGTATACATGGTATAGAGATGTTAATCAGTTTTACTTATATTTTATCTTCTGTTAATAACTACTGTACATTATCTGCTTATAGCTTTTAAAATAAGTACCGGTAATGCATCTCATGTAATTTGACCTAGCAGATTGTCATCTGCTAGGTCTGCTAGATTTCACGTCACAGTGTGCAGTACAAAACTATTGGAAAAACATGTTTGGTGGTCGGGGTCAAGTTCCCTCACCCACTAAGGACTGTGCAAATATGTGACAGGCTGACATCCAAATCCAGTGCAGGTTGCTCAGAAATTACATATGAACAAGGCTTCAATATAAAATGTCAGACTTACAGAAGTTAGGCGAGACGCTGCTGGATGATAGAAGGGAAGTATGGGTCTAGCAGTCTCCCAGATTTGCAAATCTGCTTGGTGGGTTTTACATGTAATCTTTAATAAATTCTGTGTTAATTATCTAAAGGTTGTCTCCTGTCGATCCATCCAGAATCAAAATGACCCGGTGAAGAGTTTATCTTAATTCAATCATAACAACGGTAAATGGGCCATACTTGTATAACACCTTTCTATCCAACCAGGTATCCAACTCAAAGCGCTTCACTCTACAAACTGTGTCCTCCTTTACACAGCACTCTATTAGGTCTCTACAAAGCTAACATCATCTGTGGAGACAAATCAGTGCCAATTACATTCATACACTGATTGGACACACATCAGAGGCATTAGGGGTGAAGTATCTTGCCCAAGCACACAACAGCTGGAACGGGGGATCAAACTCACAACCTACCGGTTTCAGGATGACTCCCCTAACCACTCTGCAACATTCTGTACATCATTTCATAACAAGTGAAGAATACATACTGTAGTTACTTGATGTGTGAAGTATGTGCCTGGAAAATACATAATACCCTCCCTGTAATGTGTGTGCCATTAATTTATTTTTTTTATCCCAGGTGGGAAACCACTGCTTTAATAGTTTCGGATTGTGTTTGATAGACATTGGGCCTCATGCAAGAACCGTTAGTACGCACAGATTTGTTCTTAAATTGTGCGTACGAGTGATTTAGGAGAATTTGTGGCATTCACCAATGTTTTCATATTCTAAGATTTTTTT